ATATAGCTTCTGGGGGCTTCTGGAACATAATAATTAATGTATTTTGCCAGGTTTCACCAAAATCTTCAAATATGGGGGCTGTCAGGAGGGGGTTAAATTAAGTTATAATTTTTTTAAACAAATTCATGTGAGTATTTTTCTCTAAAGCAAAGGGAGAATAACTTTCTTTTAACTCATTAAGAACGTGAAATGTAAAAACCTCATTATCAAGTGATGTTACCATAGCATCTGAAATGTTAGAAATATTACATAAACCATATGATGAATCATCTTCACTTCTAATCATGCTTTATACTTCAGATGCTTTAAGAATCAAGAATATGAAGAATATGATGAAAATCAGACTATATGTATACTATTTATATGAATCATTGAAAGTGCATGGTAAATTATAAAATTGGATCTTTAATATACAGGGTTGGGATAATCGTTTTGACCCCTGTGAATGATAGTCAAAATACATGTAACCTTTCCACATACTTATTAGTTCAGTTCAATACATGCACATTTTTACTCAATAAGATTGAAACAACTATGGTGGTTACTTTTTTTGTTAATTTAATATTCTTTTTATAATTGTCAAACAATGACGTTCATAGTAGCTGCCTCCAAAGCTGGATAATTTTGTTAATTCTGATCCAATTTTGAAGATTTGTTGTCTCTTTAAAGGGAATGCGAAGTTTTGTCCCTTAAACTTGATAATAAGTTAGAATAAAGATATATCTTTCAAACCAACTTAGTTTTATTGTTCTATCATTATCCTTTTAATTGTCATTGAGCCCCGGGTTTTGCATATGAACTGGACCACGGAGCTGCCATTTCAACCGTAAAGTGGTTCTTTACGACATTGTTATGACGTCATTGATGCCAGATTGATGCCTTGGCATTCCAAAAGTTTTGTGGCGCCATTTTTGAATCAAAAAATGAATGCCGAGTTGTTGCCATTCCAAAACTAAAGAAATCATTTCAAAGGAACTAAAAGAATACGTATATACCACCCATAATAAAGAACGATTTCAATAGAATATTACCGCCGGCATTTTCGGAATTGCTTTTTACCTATCTAGACATGGAATGCGGGTTAGATTTATTCTTTATTTCTTACACTTGAAACAATCCGGGATTCGTTTTTATTAGGTCTAGCGCTAAATGCGAACAGAGAATGCTAATTCTATCAGGCGAATGCAAACTATTTGAATAAAACATAATAAAATTAATTCAACCAACCCATCTTGAATTTCCAAGAATGCAATGGTTTAAATTTGCTAGTCTCATTACAAAAGTACGTGTTCGTACTTTAATATTCATTGCATTTATGTTTATCTTTTACACAGGTATTCAAAGAAATTAAAATTTTAAAATTAAATTTTAAAACCGTGTTCAATTACTATCATTGATTCTTAGCCTCACGTCACATTTTTACGGGGACCGTACGGTCTATCATTTCTGTGGTAAGCTGGATTTGTACGGTTGCCTAAGTATTTCTGCAGTCAGATAATTTAGCAGTCACATTTGCTAAGATAGCCGTACGGCGTATCTTGATTATGAGGAAAAACTACGATTCCCGTACCGCTGATAAATGATGACGCACGATCAGCGTAGGGCAGCCCTACGACGTGCATAGTTTTTCTTGAAGGCATCTACTAAGGGTTCTATGGTTCGGAAAGGTCAATTGTAACCTATAAAATCCAAGCGCAGCCGCAAGTCGACCGTGAACCCGACGTACGGCCGTCGTGAGACCTACGGTTTGGCTGCTGCTTGTTGATATCTATAGTGACCACAGGAAAGAAAAAGTTATAACTCCGACTCTACGCCTGATAAAAACTGGATATGTCGTGTACGTAGACAGCAAGGTGCAGTGACCTTAAGTCGACTGTAGTTTTCCTATGTTTGCCGCAGAAATTTACTGATTTCAGGGAAATACGATCGACGTGTGGTCGCATTGAACAAATGTGACTGAAGCTTTTAAAGTTCCACTTATTTTCCGATATAGAAAAACAAAAGGTTGTATGCCATTCAATTGAAAATCATTATTTCGAAAATACTGTAGAACTGTACTTACCACGGATGTTATATAATTAAATTCGAGCTCGAAATCAGGAATTGTTTTTAGCAAAAAATAAATATATAATAAAATAAATATTAAACTATTGGCGTACTATCAATACGGCAATTGCCTTATCGTCGTTGAAATGAAATATCATACTACAATCGACCCTATCGTCTCCCCGCATCACTGAATGTTATGAGCCTTCTCTTGTCATGATCCAAGGTGAAATACCATTGAATTTTGAAAAGCTTTTTTTGTCATATCGAATGTCGCTACGGTGATATGATGATTGAAATTGGTCGTTTAACAACTGAGAAAAATTAAACATTACGTATTATTCTTTGAAAATATGACAGTGGCATGTCCTTGTAAAGCTATTGCCAATCTTAGTATTTAGAAGATTGACATTTACATACGTATCATTTAGACGACATCGATTTTTCGTTTTTTTGTTTGCGTTTTTCATCAGAATCTAAATGGCTAAACACTTTAGGGAGTTACTGTTTCATTGGATTACTACTTTTTGTTTTATTTCTTTCATTCTCCAATATGCACCTATTCATATTTGAATAGAATACTACAGATTGAAGAAATCTATCACTTATGATTAGGTAAGAAAGCAATTGCGGCAGTATGCCTATTTGCCGACGTAAACCTTAAGGTTAATAATGATGTGCCGTAAATGCTCATCAGCGCATTAATGAACATTAGCATAGATTTTGATATTTTAAATGGTATGTCGTGTATTTACATAAATATGGTAAATGCAACTATTTGTTGGATGCGTTCAGCCGATGATATAACTTACTTATTTTCACCACAAATACGCCAACACATTAGCCACATTAATCTTAGTTAAAATAAATCCCCATTGATGCACAGTAATGCATTTATATAATTATGTGTAAATGCCATTTTGTATATTTTAATGCATTTACCTCATTTATTGGTTAAATATACAAGAAAGCATTTACAGGATTTGAACAGATTTATCCTTTTTGACCCAATGTTATCATTATATAAAATAATTCTAGTGGATATTTTTCAAGTGGAATATAATGCGATGACTTCCGAATCGCGCAGCCGATATCTCATAAGTTTAGTGATTTTTCTACCTAGCCTATACTATATCACATTGGAGAAAATAAATACAAACATTTGAAAATATACATTGCAACAATTCAATTTCTATGAAGAATATATTGAAACAACTTTTCAAAATATATGATATGATATGGACATGAACATGCGGCAACAATGTTAAGCGGACAGAAATAGTTATAAAATATCAGTGAAATGTGTTCTATTTCTGCGATCCGAGTATGACGTGATTATATAGCGACATTTTCCAGGCATCAATTTTAAGGCATCAATGACGTCATTGATACATAACAATGGCGGCATCCGCAGCGATCCAGATATGGGTACTTTGAACTTGAATTATATGTTAGTTCAAACACGATATGTCCCATGAGTGAGCTGAAGTGATAGATGATGGTTATAAGTAGCCAGCGTGTAAATTAGAACATGAAACTTCGCATTCCCTTTAAGGATGTTCCCTGGACGAAGTTGAAAACGATGAACACCAACCCCTAATTTTTCTTTTCAAAATGTGAAGTACATAGCATAACTAAGTGTTTCTGTGAGTTTAAGAAAAAGTTAAATATTCAAAAGTGTGTTTTGGGGTGAAAACCTGATTTTTAACATGGGTTTCAATGAGAAAGTGCCACGCCCACTTTTGTCAAATATTGACACTTTAGAGGCCTCTTGCTCAGAAAAAAGCACACTAACATATGGTTTTTAAAGTTTTAATATTCTTTGTTGCCCGTGAGAATCCCAGAAAACCATTTTTGAGAAAAAGTTAAATACTATTGAATATTTTCCTATCTGACCAGGGAACATCCTTAATGTTGCTTATATCTTCCACTCATCAAATAAGGGACAAAACTATGCACACATTCTGTCATACGACCTCAGTTCTAATAGATATGTTGCTATACTAGGATATTCTGAACTAAAAATGGATTGATGACGTCACAATTAATGCAAATTAGCTAATTTGCATAACTGAATATTGTAACCATATAGTAAATTTAATAAGGTTTAATCAGATACCAATATCATCTCTATAGACCAAATAATGGCGAAGCTACATTGATTCAAGACTCCAAGGTAAGACGTAATGTATATTATTGTCAAATAATGACATTCACGATAGCTGCCTCGAAAGTTACATAACTTTCGTAATACTGATTCAATTTTGAATCTGTTTTCACTTTTATGTTGCTTATACCTTCTACTAATAGAATAAAGGACAAAACCTTTCAGAAATTTTGCCATACGGCCTCAGTTCTAATAGATTTGTTGCTATAGTTGGAAATTCTGAACCAAAAATAGATTGATGACGTCATAATTTATGCAAATTAAATAATTTGCATAATTGAATATCGGAAATTTATTGGAAATTTAACGAGGTTCAATTTGGTACCAATATCATTTCTATAGACCAAATAATGACAGAGCTACAAATGATTTAAGATACCAAGGTAAGATGTCTAAAGATGCGTAACCATGGTAACTGAATGCCGCCATAAAAGTACTATGGGACATTAGTTGGCAATGTTAACAAATGAATTCATTAAATAGACACCCTAGGGATTACAAAAATGTATGTAACTTATTCACACCTTATGGGTGCATGGGAACCCCTTGTTCCTACTATACTATAATACCTTAATTGCTAAATACATAAATGATAAGGGTATGACAATTCAGAATACTGTTCTTTACAGCATATTATTTTCACTTGTAACCAGTTTGTAGCCATATTTGTCCTGGATTGTGGTTTTACTCCATTCAACATGACTCTGAATTGAAATTACATGAAAGTTACATGGCATACATGTACAACAGTTATCTCATCTATGATTTACATTGTTTCTTATTTCAGCTTGGTATTATATACAGAGATATCAAATTGGAGAACATCTTATTGGACTCCCAAGGCCACATCATCCTCACAGACTTTGGTCTGAGTAAGGAGTTTCTACCTCATGAAACCGTGAGTTCAAGTCTTTATAACCTCTTTTTGAAATGCATGTACTTGTAATATTGGAATGCAGCTCTGTCTATATGCTTTAAAATTCAATATGGTGTATTTTAGGGCATCATCAATACATCTACAAACATGATTTTGAATTGGACTAAGTGGAATTTTAATCCTTTGCGACACACATGACTAGTGTTTAAAAAAACTAAACTAGTGTTTCAAAAACTTAATGAGAATTGTTTTTTATTTCAGACTCAACGTGCATACTCATTCTGTGGTACTATAGAATACATGGCCCCTGAGGTTGTACAGGCGGGCACCAAGGGTCACGACTTTGCCGTAGACTGGTGGTCCCTTGGCGTGCTTACATATGAACTTTTGACTGGTGCATCCCCCTTTACAGTTGATGGGGAGAAAAATTCCCAGTCTGAAATATCCAAGTAAGGGATAATGATGTTTTCATAATATTAATACTATAAAAGGAAAAGTTGTGACATATTGTCATTACTCATTATCTATCTTCGAATCAAAAATCATTATACTTGCTGTGTATAGTATGGTGTTTTGTCCAAATAAAGTGAATAGAGTTTTGTAAATAATATGAACAAATATGTAGTGTTCAATTTTTTGTGTTACTGTATAATACTCCAGCAACTGTATCCACAAACTAGCATTCATATATAATGCTAAACATTATAGATTTTATACTTCAACGAATCAAATATGAAATAAAATCAACAAAAACACATGCTTGTCTGTCCACAATGTAGATAATGCATAAAAAGTTTTTAAAAACAAGTAAATAAAAAATATCATAAACATTTATATGTTCGTTTATACAGGCGTATCCTGTACTCCCAGCCACCCATGCCAAAGAGCTTTTCCTCAAATGTGAAGGACTTTATACTCAAGCTGCTGACTAAGGAACCCAGGGACAGACTGGGGGCCAGAGGGGCAAGTGATGTCAAGAAACATGCCTTCTTCAAGGTAAGCATTCCATATCATTCATATTCATTAACTTAAGGTAATCGTACTTAAAAGTTCATAGAATAAATACAGTATGTGTGTCATGCTGCAAGGTCATACTAAAATCATCATGGCTCAGTACATACTCTTGTTTAAAATTCAAATCATATTTATTCACAGATAAGAGCCCATAAGAGTGATATAAAAGGCAACTGAAAAATACTTGTACTTTTCTCAAATAAAAGCTTATACCGTTATATGATTTAGAAAAGTGAGTTTCAGCATATATTTATATTGACCTTTTAGGGTCTAAATTGGATTGACCTGGCCACTAAGAAAATCCCCGCTCCATTCATCCCAGTTATCAAAGACCCTATGGATGTAAGCAACTTCTCAGAGGAGTTCACAAACATGGTGGCACAGGACTCCCCAGCTATTGTACCTATGGCTGGAGACAAGATATTCAAGGTACACTGCAAATTTTAAGAATATTATTATGAAACCACTTTTTTGTGGACGATGTTATAATCAAGATTATCCAAATGTTTATGATTCTATGCTGTAAAGTAACGGATACTAAGGACTTGATATTCCTATTCTGCAAAATACAACCCAAAATAAAAACAATTATTTCATTTTAGGGTTACTCTTATGTGGCACCATCTATAATGTTCAGTGAGAACCTGATAAGCCATGATTTTTTGAAGCCGTCTCTAGAACGTCAGCCAACAGATCTTAACCTGTGTCTGGCCCACCAGTTCAAGAACTCACCATTTTTCCAGAACTATGAAATCAATCTGAAGGAGACCATGCTAGGTGGCGGCAGTTTTTCTATATGCAGGTATTAATGTGTGCCAATAAATTCTCCCTGGTCACAACTATTTGAGTAATTTTCTTATATTACTGTACATATGAGAGTCTTGACTATATGTCCGTTAGCTTATCCCTTGATAATTTTAGTCCTTTCCACCTTAATATGTACTTTTGCATTTGATTAGAAACTTCTTCCACAAAAAGCAATATTAACTAAATTATGATAACCAAAGATACCAAAGCACTTTCAATTTCACTTTATTAAGGCCTGAGTCAATCTGTCAACCATCTTCTCTAATTGTTCTTATTTTTCCGATAATTTTGATTTATGACAAATTATTACTAATCTTGTAAGAGTAAATAGGAGTCTTGATGCACGTATTTCTATTCTGACCTTAACTTGTTTTTTCCAGGAAATGCAGGCACAAGAGAACGGGTGTTGAATATGCAGTAAAGATAATCAGTCGTCGTATCAACTGCCAGCAGGAAATCAGTCTACTCAGGATGTGTCAAGGTCACCCCAATATAGTCAAACTACACGAGGTTTATCATGACGAGGTAAGAAACGACAAGACATTTGATTCAACATTTTGCAATTTTGTAAAAATGTACATTGTACTAACTTTGGTAACATTTGATGAGACAAATTTAATGTTCTAGCTGTTACTTGGCCAATGAATTTCCACTTTGTCTTACAACTATAATATTAGTCATATATGAGATACATACCATAACTTCTATTTGTTGAGAGCCTCAGTTCATTGTTTTCATAGTAGGAAATTGGAGTAGCTGAATACATACAACCCACTCAAAAAACAAAAATTTGCTTACCAAAAGTCATTTTTAATGAACATATTATTTTATTTCAGCTTCATTCATATCTTGTACTCGATCTACTAAAGGGAGGAGAGTTGTTAGATCGGATACGAAAAAAGCGCCAATTCACCGAGACTGAAGCGGGTCAAATTATGAGGAAGCTAGTCTCTGCAGTAGATCACATTCACAGTCATGGAGTTGTACATAGGGACCTGAAGCCTGAGGTGAGTGAAATTCTATTGATTTTTGTTTTTGGGCTCAGCAATTGATGTTCTAAATCAGAAGTTGTGTGCACTCCATGCATATATTCATTCATTGGGTTTCATACTGTTGTCAAAAATAGAATAGATGTTTTGAAATCATTACCTTAGATATCTTTGAGCAACAGACCCCAGGGTCTCTGAATTATTTGGAAAATGAAGACCTTGTCAAGTACAACTACCGTACATGTATTATAAATAAGATCTTAGAAAAGATATTTGAGATATTTGCATCATTCACAGTTAAATTGATATTCATGTTGATGTATGATTATATTTCCAGAACCTCCTGTTTGTCGATGACAAAGATGATTCAGATATTAAGATAGTTGATTTTGGGTTTGCCCGACTGAAGCCAAAGGATGGCCCACTTGAGACGCCATGTTTCACACTGCACTACGCGGCTCCTGAGGTCCTAAAGCAGACCACCCAGCACAAGGAAGGGTATGATGAGGCCTGTGATCTGTGGAGCCTTGGAGTCATCCTGGTAAGATACATAGCTGTTATACTCGTATAAGGAAAAACTGAGAACTGAGCACTGAGAACAAAATAAAAAGCCAGGTCCCTATTAGATTATAATGTACTGTTACACTGGAAAGAGTAGTAGAGCTATATTGCACATGTATTTGTATAACTTTGTATATTGGCAAATTTTAATATAGAAGTACGTTACCTCACAAAATAAAAAAAGTATAGCAGGTTATAATATAATCGAACATAATTTTAGATAGAGATTGATGTATGCAGAACAAAACTGTCAAGTAAAACATCTCTCTTAAGTGAATACCACTGTAAATGGAACACTTTATGTTAACTGAAACTCTGGCACTGGAAAACCTCCCAAATAGTTGTAGAGATTTCAAAGCAATCTAAATACAACCACAAAGGGTTTCCTGTATGTGAATGTGCAATTCAAGCCATGCATATATTCATACATATACCTGACTTGTTATTTCAGTACACCATGTTGTCGGGCAAAGCACCATTCCAGAGTAGATGTAGTGAAGATACAGCAGAGAAAATTATGCAACGAATAAAGAGTGGAAAATTTATCATATCAGGAAAAGATTGGGATGTAGTCTCAGACCAGGCCAAAAGACTTATACAAGGTATGCCGTTTCAGTACGAGAACTCAGTTTGAGCATTTGCTGTTTTGAGGATTTTTTAATTTATTTAATTCTATCCTCATCAGTGATCTCCACAAGATTTTTTTCTCAAGTGGGTGCAAAATTCTCATTTCCACAATTCAGACCAAAATTGGTCAAAATATGCCAATCTCATGATTTTTCTCATTTTCAAGTGGGTGCAACGGGATTTTCAGGTGGGTGCAAGCCTATTTTCAAAATCTCAGGTGGGTGCTGCGCCCACTTACTTTAATGCTGGGGAGATCACTGCTCATTGTCAGACTGTTTACTGTGATTTTCTCATGCTCAGACTGTATGTCGCCATAGCTGGCAAAAAGTAGAAACCTTTGAGTTGTAGTATTTTCATCAGACTGAACTTGTATTAAGATTAATTTCTGATTTTATGCAAATTAAAAACATATCCATAATATTCAGGTTAAGTTACATGTATGTTATTTCAGTAAGTTCACAGGTTTTATGTATGTTATTTCAGGTATGTTGACGGTTGATCCTCGACAGCGAGTCACAATGACAGACCTCCTCAACAATGAATGGATACAGGGTAGAGACGGACATATCTACAATCAAACACCTCTAATGACTCCAGATGTTCTAAATTACTCTTCGAAAAACCCCAAAAAACGTTCAGTAAAATCTCAATTAAATAATACAATCAAAGCGTTCCAAATTGCTGCTCGGGAAGGATTCCGTCTACAGGATGTGAACAATGCTCCATTGGCGCAACGACGTATCAAGAAGAAGAGTTCAACAGCATCTAGGAGTAGTAGCAGTAGTGAAAGTGGGCACTCGTATGGCTCTTTAACACCCACCAAGAGTCTAACACAGTCTCCAGTTAGGCAGTCCCCCATACGTAATCTCTCCAACACATCATCTAATAGTTCTATAAGCAGTACAGGCTTCGTGCCATTGAAACAGTTCACCACCAAACCACCTCCCACCCTTGAAAACTCTGGCTACTTCAGCTTTAGTCGCCATAAGATGGCAGCACTGGGTGTTGTGCCTGATCTCGCCATGACGTTAGACCAATCTCTGCCTCATCCATCGGATAGCTCTAACAATAATAATGACTCTACCACAGCTAAAGGTGCCAAGCGAAAACTTCCACTGTCTGACCAAGATGACTCAGATTGTATCATAATAGAAGAGCCCTCCACTAATTCTAACTCTAGTCACTCTAGTGAACCGCAGGTGGCTGTAAAAAGACCGAGATCTGAGACTATAGTGCTTGACTAAATGCCGCTGGATTATTCAAGGTGATACAATGTAAGCCTATCAAACCCAAAAGCAGCTAAACCTGTCCAATCGGCTTATTGGTGTGGTGCCTTCTTAATTCAGGAAATCTTATAAGAAAGATGTCACGGTGGTCATACTTTGCGAAATAGAGTAAACAGAGTAAAATAAATCAAGTTGACAGACTTTACTTGTACCTAACAGTAAATTGAATAAAAATTCCAGAATATCAGGCAACTTCAAATTTTAAAGAGAAAAATTTTGGATGAGGCATGACCATTGTTACAGTTTTCTTATGAGTAAAATGCTCCTGGTAAATAACAGAAGCATATTTTGCTCCATAAATACACCAACAGCATAATCTTGCAGTATTGGAATCATCAGAGTAACCTTGACTCTTATACAAGGTCATAGCCTGCATTTCATTTGGAGCTCTGAAACAAAAGAACAGTGCTCCTTGGAAACATATGATGGAAAACTGTGCTCCCGGGAAACATTCTGCTCCTTTGAAAGAGTAACAATCTACCAAAGATATTCCCAGACAGATGTTATTATTTATTTATTTGAAAAAGGAGAAGAATCAGTGCAATTTTAGTTAAATGTGTAAAAGTATTCTCAGAGTTGGGATGATTTGTATAAGTGCAAAAGATACAGTGCTTATGTTTGCTATAGGGTGAGTTCAGCAGCATAGTTTGTTACTGTGAGTACGAGAGGTCTCTTTCATGGAGATGAGGTTAAGGGGACCTTTTACATAGCAAGTGACACTTTAGCCAGTTTGACACTGTTAACGACGACTCTGATTTGTGGCAAACATTTTTTTTTCTCTTAGTTCTGACTCATTGATTGGTACTTTATGTGTGTCCCATTTATGGCGGATTTTCATCAAACTAGAGCAGTCATTGTAGAAAGGCTCTTGTTATTTTGTGAAAAGCAGTGTCTCTATTAAAGTTACGACATGGTAAATACTGGGGCTCCGATGGTACAATGCACAGTTACCACCGTTCAATTGCCCTGATTTGATGTTTTGGGGTTTTTGATTCGGTTTTATAAGAAACGTTTTCACAAAAACATTCCTTGTTGCAATGGTTTAACTTTTTACTATTGTATAAAGGATCAAACAATTTGCAATGTTTGCTTGGCAAAGCAACACAATAAAATTGCAAAAATGAGTATTTTCAATTAACATGCTAACTCCATGAAATTAAAAACTAAACCAGATAAATATGTCAGTACCGTCAGAGTCCTCGTAAATATGTTAATTTTACTTGTCTAAACATTTTATTTAAAATTTTCAAAAAATGAATGAAGAATATATTTTCACTATGGTCTCAACACTGATGATGAGTAAATCAATCAATGAATTTAATGTTATATGTAAATATGATTTGAATACTGTATATAGAATTTAAGTTATTATGAATTCATAGCATTGAAATATGTATATATATCTATTAAATATAAACAAGATAATGCAACATACATGTATTATTTCTGTCACATGGGGCACAAGAATCCTTATGAAATGGTTTTAATGCCATGTGATCATTTATTACCCAGACCTTTTCAACTACAAGTATTTACGTTATACTGGGTTAAGAGCAATATGAGAAAGTGTCGCATCTGATTGTATTTATAAAGCAACAATGTCGCAAATGTTGACATGGTTTATACCTGTATACACAAGTAAAATAGAGATTTCAAAATGTGTGCAAGTTTATACACAAAATCTAGACATTGTAAAATGAATGAATTGTCTGATTTTCAACACAGTAAATCACAGGTAGATATTATATGATATTATATTTATGATGGGTTATTTTTATTTTGAACTGTTGAAACACGATTCAAACCCATTTCTTAAATTTGTCTACTAAATATTTTGTAATGTTCATGCAGGAATATATGTCGTGGAACTTTGTATTTCATTACTGTCATATTAGAATGATTTGTCACATAAAAATATCACAATGTAATTATTTCAACAAGCAGTATCTATACAATTGCTTGATTTTAGATTTAATTGTAATATCTGTAATTTACGAAGTACAGATTTTTAAGAACAATTGTTTTAATAACATGATTATGTATTAATATTGAATGTTAGAGTTATAGGGTTCATGGGTAAATTATATTAATGTATGTATTTGGAAAGTCAGGGGAAGACAAGATGTTAAGCCATTGAGCTGGTTTATATTTGAGTAGAATGTGAATTTAGTTATTGAATATATTTAAATGTGTAGGGAAGGTTTAGTTTCATTGAAAGCTGCTCAAAGTAGGTTTCGACCCAAGCAGCCTTTGATAAGCGTTTGTAGCATGAAGCAACCAATAAGATTAAGGAATCTCTAAATAAAATGCCAACAGTTTATGGGAATGACAAACCAGCTTTGAAGTGAAGATTGCAGTTATTTATTTGAGCATAAACTGAAATTGTTTTTTCTGAGGAACCACAATAGTGAGAGATTTTATTGTTTATTTATTTTGGAATTATTCAAATTAATTATCAATAAGTTTTTCTTTGCCAACAAAAGACCACCTAAAATACCGGGTAATTGAATTGTCCAGTACTTCATTCAGTTGGCTAGTCAAAAATATTCATGACAGTATCGTGGAAAGTTATGAAAGGTGAGATGTGAGACCCATCACCTATAGATGTGGTGTATGGATGTAATGCAAAATATAATTCAATGAGTGAATCGTTAAATATTAACTTACTAAATGTTGTCATGGTTATGTTTAAACATCCAATGAGTAACAGAACAAAGGAAGAAGTGAGAAAGGTTGTCAACAGATTCTCAAGTATTTTTGAATTTCATGAAATTTTAGGCATTTTGAGAGTTCTTCCTCAAGTGGGTACAAAACTTTCATTTTCCCAACTCTTATAATTGGAATTATGTTAATTTTTCATTTTCAAGTGTAGGTCAAATAATTCTTTAATGCTGGTATACAACCCTGTTTTTAAAATCTCAGGTAGGTGCAGCGGCCACTTGTTGCAATGATTGAACGATCAACGATTGAGTGAATGAAATTGGAATAAACATAACATAACCAGGGGATAACACAAGTAGTAGGTGAATATAACTGAACTATTGTTGGTTGTAGAATTTGGTATATTCAGAGTCCAGACAATGATAAATCCTATTGTGCAATTCTTTAATCTCTCTATATGTGATCTATCCTCCGCAAGCAATATGCTACATGTACAATCTTTGCAGTAATAGAAATATATCTACATGTAAACATGTGTGATGTCACATAAAACAATGGAAAACCATGTAATGACCCTTAGAGGGTGTATGAATATTACCCTTCCTTCTAGTGGTATATTATGGAATGGTTCTTTGTACGATACAGAGCATATTAACAATTGTGTCATCTAACATTCTACTATCTTCATATGTTTCAATAGAAAATGTACTACAGTTACTCTGTTCTGTATGATTAAAGAAGGCATTTAATTTAACATTCTCTATACTGTCAAATTCAGAATTTTAACATTTGATTTAATACAGAACTGTTTTGTGGCCAGTATGCTCAGAATGACCTTATTAGTAGCTGTATACAAGGTCAAAATCATAAAGAATGAACATTTTTGTAATTTTTCTATCTAGTAACTGCATTATGGTAAAAACTGTAAAGTGAAACACTGCAAAGTCCTGGGTTCCATTGATTTAATGCTCAATGAACCCAAGTTGAAGAATATGTTTACTTAAAGGTACCAATGGTGTTTCACTTACACAAGTTTTACTTTACTCTTCTATACGATTTTTACATTTTGTAAGTACATCTGTCCAAGTGGAACACCTTTGGTACCTCTAAAAAGTGGGAGGTGTTCCACTTATAGAGGTTCATTTGACATTAAATCAATTGGTCTTGGGACTCTTGTCAAGTGATCCACTTTCAGGTGTTCCACTTCTAGAGGTGTCCACTTCACCGAATTCACTGAATATCATTTTTCACTTCTGAATTAAGCTTTATAATAGCTCATTCCACTAATTTCCAAAGCCTTATTGAAGGAGATGATCACGAACACTTGTCATCAATACATTAAAAGAATAATCACATTTGCACGATAAATGCATATTTTATATGTGAATTCAAACAGTTAATGCTCAAATACTGGTAGTGGTTACCCCCTCCCCAAAGTGTGGAGTTAAACATGACAGGGGGTATCACATTTGCTTATTTTAGTATTTATCTTGTTCCTTCATGACCCTGCTGTCCAATTTGTCATTGTCACATGAAAAAGATATGATTTATATGTGAAGAATATATGAATTACATGTGAAGAATATATGAATTACATGTGAAGAATATATGAATTACATGTGAAGAATAAATGAATTGCATGTGAAAAATATATGAATTACATGTGATGAGAAAAACCTGATTTATTTAAATGAATTGAATTATCTGAAGATAATCTGTTTTAAACTGAATGAATGAAATTAATTTATTGTAGAATGTCATATCTGGGTTGAATTTGAATAAATAAATAAATGTATATGATCTCAATAGATTTTTGTGTTTTTGTAAATTCACCAGGTTTCGAGTTTTCACTCAATACAATCAATCTACAGATCTATGGCATGGTTCATAATTAGTTGAATTGAAGTAATATATGGTATGGTACAGAACGAGTTGAGTTGAAACAATATGATACAAGGCATTAACACACAAAATGTCACTACCTGCCATTTGTAACAGACACCAAATGCTTTAACAAACATCAAACACCAATTCCCAAACACTGGCCTAAAAACTATAGACAGTCTGGTGTTATGAGAATTTCCACTCAGATATCTGAAATCTGAAGATTCTCGAACTTTGGCCTTTGCACTTAGAGATTATGTTTAATATATTATGAAATGAGAAATATGTAATCATTCTTCACTTTCATTTTTTTAATCTCCCAAACAGAATTTGGCGCAGAGTTTTGGAGTACATGCAGAATTTGACTTTTTCATGCAGTGTTTGCATTTTTCTCATGCAAAAGACTAGGATGTGTGATTAGGGCATATGTTCTGTTCCATATGATAGGTGGTTGTGGGGTTTACTGTATATATAACATCTGTCATGTAAAGGCAAACCATATTGTTATCTTTCTGGTCAGACAGTATGTATAATTTAAAGCTAACTTCTATTTTTTTTACATCAAACTCATTTATGTAGTACATTTCACTTGGGTTGTGGGCCAATAAAAATAGGCAATCAAAAGGGCATAGTGTATTGATATTGAAAAATACACGCATATGTCACACAGGAATGTTTGTACATCTTGGGATTGCTTGTGGTTTGGCTAATAAAATGTGTGGCCTCTCTGATCCTCTTGTATTTCAATGCTTCTCCGACAAGTGATTTTCAAAACAATTAATATGGTTCAAAGTTCCTAAATAACCAAGAAGAGCCCATGGACACTGGTGATCCACTCGATTACGCTGGTTACCGAAATGAACATTTTCTAAAACATGATACTGATACACGCTTGTGAGAAAAAACATCATGGGGATTCTGCCTACAACGCGTGAAATAAGGAAAAAAGAAAAATCGTACCTTCGACGTTCTGACATTTTGTTACCGAAAAACGTAATCAAGCGGATCACCAGTGATGGAGTTGTTGACTATAAAATTGATTTATCTGAAATATACAAACAATTTGTGTCTAAATATGAATCCATTTTTCCATATAACATTGCACTGTGGTCTTTTGATTGCTCATTATTTTGATTCTGTTATCAGTCTACCAAATTGATATGGACTGTGGCAAACAAGTTAATAATACATAACTACATGTATTTAGTTTAGAATAGATATATTTTCTAATACATTGCATGATGTACAGTTATAAAGTTGACACAAGATATAAGTTTGTCATTAAGACACGACCTTATAGTCATTCAGCTTCAATGTTCTTTGAAAACAAGTAATTATAATTATAAATAATTGTATGTAAAAATAACAGTACCAACTAGTTTAAACAGTTTTTTATATCTTCCACCATTTGGTCTGAAATCTTTAAGTATGATCATTCTGATTAAGTCCAATTTTTCGTTAAAACTCCACAGTATTGATTTTATGTCCCGTGGCTTCTACAAACTTTACAAAGTCCTTAGGTGTCAGTGCTGTACTAGCAGCATTAGATATTGGATGGAACCACACCTTTTCATGAGTATCATTCACTAAATCGGAATCCACATAAAAGTTAACATTTCCTTTGATGTCATTAACTAATGCATATGCTGTGACGCAACCTTGTTTTACGCCTAAATTTTCAAAGAGTATTGACTCATCAGCAAATCGCAGACCTCCAGATGCTGAAATCTTTTTGGCCAAATCATTAAGTTTGAAGTCACGGTCATGAATACAGGACACGAGATAAAGTTGTTTCTTTTTGTCCTTCAGGAACAGATTTTTGCAATGTGCACCAGGTAGATGGTCGACATATGGCATCATAGCCTCGACAGTAAACACCTGAAGTAAAACTTATATTTATGTATTTACAGGATAGATGGTGATTATTATGAATCGTTGGGACATAAACAAGCTGATTCGATTCCCTGATGCTGATGAAATATTTTTCTATCCCAATTTGTGAAAGTTGTATGGGCGATAATAGGGGATGTACATTTTCAATTGCTGCTATAAAAGCTATCAGACATTTTTATTCGAGTCTAATGAATCTAATATTATCTTTACTAGATGGCCTTACCTCCGGATGATCTATAGTGTCAGATTCAATCCCAAGTTCTTTGAATTTAGCCAACAATCTTTCCTTATCAAAATGTTCAGCCATCGTGTTACTTCCGGGTCAAGGTCGTAATAGCTAATTTCTTTCGCTAAAGCGAGTTAGCAGACAGCATTATTTAGAAGACATTTTTGAGATTTATCAACATTTAATATGGAAATTCCCAATGAAGAACATAAAAAGAAGAAACGTAAGCGAACTGTTATACACCAAGCTCAGCTTCACAAATTGGAAGAGTTATTTAATGTGGAGAATTGGCCAAACAGAGCCAGGAAAGAAAAGTTGGCCAAAGAATTGAATCGAAGTATCGAATTTGTGAACATTTGGTTCCAGAATAAAAGAGCAAGAGTAAAGAGGGATACTGAGGAGAGGGCTGAACTATTAGCCCGTCAGAAAATCCTTGATAAAATAAATGAGAAATCAACTGTCGCTCAAGAGCTTGTTTACCGAGATCGTACCAGATCCATCTTTAAATTCTGCATCACTCCTCCCGCACCTAACCAACAAGTATCAACAAAGTTAGTTGGAATAAATATTAAGGCAGAAGAGCCAGAGTCCCAGTCAACCAGTGAAACAAATGATCAAATTAAGATTGATGTTGATAATAAAGATGAGCCCACCAATGCTGACATTGAAACCACGGACCTTCAAGAGAAAGACACTACTGAAACTGACGCAAATGAAGATGTTGACACAAATGAAGCACAAGATAAATCTGAAGAGGGATTTTCAAATATGATCACAGTTTGTACATATACTTTTTTGATTCTACAAATGCAAAATAATTTAAACATCTTATGGCATAGCCTAAGCAATCAATCTGTTTACGTTATCAAAAATTATCAAAATTGAGCCTTGAATGTCAATTTCTATATTTTTCTTCATTTCGACATGAGTGTATTTTATAGAAGTATATGATTTGTACAATTTTATAATAGTTAACATTGCAATTTTAAATAGTTTTATTATAGGCTAAAGATTTTTTATATTTTTTGTTTTTTTTACTTTTTATTTTGCTGCTCTCAAACTATCTATTATATCTCTATATTCTTTATGTTCCTATTTTGTAAACTAGCCATCAAATACTCTAATGTTGTGTTTTGTAGATAGCCTCTCCTCACAACTCCATGTACCAACTACCAAGTCTGATAGGTGGCAGCACTGCACAAGAGAGTCAGGTCCCTACGTTGTTCCGCAGTATAATTAACATGATTGCTGTTGCAGAGGGTGGGATAATGTCACCTGCACACCCTGAGTTTGACACAGCAGTCACCTCAGCACTTTATGGAATCAAGATTGGCAAATCATCGAGGTTGATTTATGATAAAGTGTTTGGTTTGGACATTGAAGAGTTTGATGATCATGCTGAAAATGATAACTGACAAAGGCAAGATGAACTGAACAACTGTATTAAACAGATGACTTTATGAATACATAGCCTTTATAACCTTTAATGACTTGGCTTTAACTGATGACTGAACAACCATATTAAAAACTGAATTAAACCAATCAACAGCCAATATTAAATAGTATAAGGTGACTTTCAAAGCGCTACATAACACATTTGATATTTGATAAACTTTGCATGTTGTACACAAAAAGAACAGTTTTATTGTAAATGCATAAACACTTTATTTGGTAATATGAAATTCTGAATGCATAATACTGATTTGTTTTTGTATGAAATGTTATTGTTATCATAAAATCATTGATTTCAATTAAATTCAAAATCAATGTTACATTCTTATTTATAAAAAACTTCAATTTAGATACACAGGGTGGTCCAAAAATATTAAGTTTATCTCCTCATTAATCCTTTAAGTTGAAACTTCACTTAAAATAACTAAAGGAAGTTATAAGTGAAATAATTTTTGGACCACTCTGTGCAAACAAAAGCAAAAAATTAACAAAAATTTTGCCGAAAGGTGAAAATATAAGATTATATAATGTTGGATAAAGCTGGTTCTACAATTACAATATTAAAATAAGAATAAATTCAAAACAATTGTCTTAAATACTGAAAATATGTGTAATATAAGGGGTCTCATGACGTGACATATATTTTTGATTGAACACAACATAGAGAAACTGTAGCCTAGGGCACAGAATAATACTTAGTATGTAATTTTATCGCATGATCTGTAAAATGAAGCCCTCTGATTGGTCAGTTCTCGTTCAAATACAGAATTTCTCGAGCAGACATTTTTGCTTCAGATATTTTTTGAAAATTTCACAATGGCATCATTTTCACACAGATAAATCATCTGATTTATATTTTTTAAACATAAATCATATTTAGCCATTACGCTTGTTATAACAACAGCAAAAGTTGTTACTTTCCATATTTTCTTGAAAGCGCAAACATTTGTTGCTAATTTGAGGAAAATCATTAAAATTGTGAAAATAAATCAAAAATTATTTTCTTGGTTTACAGTATATGAAGCTGTCGTAAGAATTACCATCACAGCATCAGAATAAAGACATTTGGGTATCATATTTACATGTCTTTCTGACATCAACATTTACTACATACATCTACATGACATAAGTACAACTACAGCATAACAAAACATACATAATGCTGAACTTTGTTCATTTTGATTAATACATTATAATACAATGCCCATTGTCAAGCAAAATCACAGATATGAATCCAGTATTGCTTAGAAATGGGTTAAAGAATGCACTGCATCTACACATGGGCTCAATGGATTTCCGATTCCCACATCCCATTCCATGTTTCTTGTGGGCCATGTTAAGTGTATGAGCAATTACCAGTGGATAAGTGAATAATGTATGAAAAAAAATTTTTTCAGTCAAGGATGTCACTTCAGGATCAGTCTGATTGAGTACCATATGGCTTAGTGTTCTCAATATAAGTCTAGCCTTTAATCTAGCAAGATTAACCTATTTCAGAAAGTAAATGCTGGGCTGAAATGCAGTGAGTTAATTCATCTTATCTTGGGTTACACAACCTAATTGTATGTCCATTATAACAGTGAACTTCCTAGGATTTTTCTGTAAATGGAAATTTTTCCTGTTTTAGTCAAAATATATCCATATTGCATCCTTGTGATGTATTTTAAACACAGGTTGTTTGTCATTTTTAATGTTCAAAAGGCTGCAGCACCTAATTCTGGGAAAGTAATTTAGAATTTTTTTCAATTTCAGATTAGTTTAGGGTAAACAGTTCCTTGGTCCTTCCAGGATTTTCTGGTCCTCCTCTAATACAAATATTTCACTTTTGATGTTATTCTCATCATCATCATCATCATTGAGGCAGAAGCGCCATCTATCAGCTGTTTAACATGCTACTCCACCTTTATTCATTCTAGTCTACATCGTAGAAATCTGATATTCGTTTGGCTAGCAATACAAGTCTCATTTGTGGGGACTGTAAATGTCTGTGTAGTATTCGAACTGTTGCATCCTCACTCTCACCCCACTCGGCAAATACACGTCCCATCGGGAACTCCATTTGGAGACTAACCCAATAGTTAATAGTGTCATCAGGAATCATTACACGTTGAGCTAACATACGCCAATCTGCACCTGGAGACATAAATCAGTGAAGCATCTAAAAAAACTGCATAGAAATGAAGAACAAAGGGCAATATGTGAACAGTAAAAAATAATCAAGACCTAGGCTAAACATATTTTTAAAAAATAGAATGGAATATTTGTATTGAACTACAATATTTTGCAAGATTAAAATCAGAATGATTTAAAAAAATTTGATTTTGCCTTTCCACAAAACTAAAATATATTCAGAAAAGCTTTTTTTCAAAATAATGTCAGCTCATCATATGCTCCATTCATTTAAGAGCCCAGGGCCCTATTTCAAGAACATTCTTTTATTGTACAATTTGGCTCACCTGATGATTTTTCAAGGCTCAGTTCCTTCATCAAGTACAGCTTAAGTTCCCTGTAGATGTTAGTGATGTGGGTATCCCCTGGCAACCTTCTTGATGGCTGCAATAACAGAAATAAAATGAAACTTTTGTTGGTCTACTAAGTTTATAAAAGTTGATAGGCGATTGCATAATTAACTTAGTCATTTTTGGCAGTATAAAATTATCAAATTAAATAAAATATTCATATAATATAAATGGATTCCTGGAATTTAGAAACTAAGGGAATAGACTTGAACTAAATAATTTAGAAAATACATGTATTTGTATTCCTTTTGGATTTTACTACATGTATATATCATAACATGGTATTCATTTGAGATTTGATTCATATATTTTTCTACTTTCAATTCTAATCTGGGAAAGTGTAACAATTGTTACAGATATTGATGCCATCACTTCATAATGGTGTCATAAAATAAAAAATAACCACAGATTCCAATACAATGAATGCTAAATCCTGAAGAAACATGTTCATATGTTTAACTTACAGGAGTGAGTAAGAATGTCTCCAGGTCTTCCTGTACTTGGGGGGTGCGTCCCTCTATTGCAGTATTCACTAGATGGCCTGTGGGGCGGCGGGGAGAGGAGGGGTGGTATATTGCATCACCTGGAATGAGATTATATCACCTAAGTTAATATGCTGCATTTGATAATTCCATACATACATACATACATTTTTGGCCTAACCTGTAAATTAAAGAGGCAGACCTATAACACGTACAATACTTTGGTGTTAAATTTTGATTTTGTGAAAACCATAAATATACGATGATAGATATCCCAAAATCCTTTATGTTCAATTACTTATTTACCTGTTTTACAACTGAAATATCAGAACTTGAATATTTTGTGTAATATTTTCATGAAGAAAATAATAGTCAATACTCTACAACTACATTGCAACTGCCAAAGAACAGGTCTGCACCTTTAAGCATTCTTAAGATTAAGTTAAAATCACAAATTAAGGCGGTCCCTATCAATGATAATTAACTACTGCAATCCAATTATTCCACATTGACACATCATTTTATTATTCTATATTAAATACTATAAATGTACAAAGTTAATTTGTGTTAATCGTGACAAATCATTTTCTATTAACTCTGGTTGTCAAACGTTAAATCAACGTGAGTTTTATATTTTCATTTTAGCAATCAATGATCCAAAATAACATATTTCCAATTCTATATTTTGTCTGAATGAAATTATTTCCTGATGGTGATTAGGAAAATATACTACTCGATCAATTATGACAATTATGATACAATGTACAAAAGTAACACAAATAAGTTTAAACATGTCACCTAATTCATATTTCGCTTTTTTTGAACAATGATTTCATTTAAAACGCTGCTATGAATTAACATTTAAATTTATCTTACTTTAGAATTATTTTTTAGAATACTTCAAAATAACATGCCCTTATCTAAAGAAATGGATAAAAACTGAAGACTTATTTTGAACAAAATAAACAAAAAATATCTCCTAAAACATCTCAGGATCTTGATCTCAGATTGAAGGGCTTGGGTGAATGGGTGATCCCCCTGAATATTTTCAAAAAATATTCTTAAGTATATTTTCTTCAAAATGTAAGATTTTTAATCAAAACTGGCAATTACTTAGAATTGACAATCTTTACTATATTTGAAATCTTCAATTATGTCGAGTTTTATAGTTTAAACCTAAAACAATTTTGACATCACTTTGATAATAAAAACAAATCTATTCAAATATCACATTACAATAACCAACAATCCACCCTTTGAAAATTGTATTAGCTAAAAAGTCCATCCATTGAGTCATACTTGTCGATAGAGCAAGCCATAAAAAGCCAAATACTAGATTAGACTGCAAAAAGATTACCAAATTCAATCTTGGTCATAAAAAGGATTATTTTGTCTTATTATAACACAGTCTCAAATAGATACTGATAAAGGCCAAAAGCAACTGTAAATATAGCTAAAAAGTCCTAAAATTAAATACATGTAATTATCCTAAGGCAAATGGAATTAAATTCATTGTTGACCATCAGTTTATCAATTGCCTGTCTCTATGTATGACCTAATGATACCAGGCCCGTAGCCAGGGGGGGGGGGTTCAATGGGTTCCCCCCCTGGCCAAAAAATCTTTCAAAATCATGCAGTTTTTCACCATTCGGAGCACTTTTTAAGTTATTTTGGCCATTTTTGGACCAAAAATTGTCACAAGTAAACCCCCCTGGAATTTATCAAAAAGTGAACCCCCGCTTGGCAAATTCTCTCTAAGGGCCTGGATACACAATACATTTAATCAACTGGCCTAATTATGATGATAGTGAAAAAACATACCTAAAGGTGTCAAAGCCTCAGATGTCTCTAACTGTAAGTGACTGATTCTCCTATGTAATTCATCAAAGTCATAACACAGTGACATTTCACATAGTCCATTCTCTATTGCTAAGTTCCTTTGCACCAATCTGGCCACTTGATTGTTCTGGTGAGTTAATTTACTCTCTAGCTCCTCAATTCTTGTCTCCATGCGCCCCCTATAGTTAAACCTCGTTATCAACTTCGTCATCATGTCAATGATTGTGTCCATTTTGATTTCTGTAGTAGGTGTCGTTTTTTCAATCTCAAATTGTTCAACATCAATATTGTTCACAAGTTTTCTTATTATCAGCTCTAGTTTCTCTTTAAGGTCTGTGTTTTCTGTTGTCAAATTCGCAACACTAACTCTTAGTTCTTCAAGTTCTTTTACTTGTTCAGCAATTAGTTTTTTCATTTGTTTTGGAGTAAGTGGCTTCTCTTTTTTCTTTTTGCCTTTTTTATCTTTACCTTTGCTTCCAGCTCGTGATTTTGATCCTTCCCGACTTGAGCTTCGACTCCTGCTCCTGTTGGGAATTGCAGATTTTGGTCTAGATGCCATGTTGGGTCCTAAATATTTATCGTAGATTGTGATTTAAGGTTCTGTTAAGATGGCTCCTATATTATCAGCATGTCTGGCAATGGTATTTGTTCATCACTTTCTAAATGCTGTATCTTTCTGAAAATTAAATTCAAAATGATTGATAACAGTGATGAGATTAAAATGCCATTGATCATTTAAATCCTAATGAATAAATCTATAATTATCTAAGAGTGATGGTTTACAATCTACTCTTTAATTCTCTTTACAGTTAGACCCTTTAATTATTAGTGAATACACAAAGGACAACATTGGAAAAATTCAAAAAGTAAACCCCTTTAAATTCAAAAATATATTGTCCACAATAAATAGCCAACTATATGTATTGTTGAAGTTAAAATTATAGAAATCTCTTTAAATTTGTTTCACATTTTTTGTTTTTGTTTACATTAAGATGTGTGGAAGTGCTTAGACAGTCTTAGACAGTTTTTTGATAAATCATTTTCTCATGAATATAGCTGAATAGATCAGTTTAACCCTTATTCTTTAATAAACCTTATCAAAGTATTCTTTTTCATTTTATGTTATCAACTTGCCAATCTATCACAATGCTGCCTTTGTTGCGCTTGTTAAAAATATGTAACAGTTAATGCTTGATAAGTGGTTTCCATAACAATGAGTGATTTCTCATTTCAAAACACTTCGCTTTGATGTAGAATTCTTGTAACTCTTTATATTAGCTAAATTATGAGACATTGAATCAGTCGAGTATTAATCATGATATATCAACATTACTCTTGGAAAATATCTCGACTTATTTCCAACACATAATCAATATCTGAGTGCTTGGTAAACATTTTAATGATGATTTGAAAGCTACCTCAGAATTTAACAAATGATTGATTGATCAAGTTTTACTGGTCATACACTGGAACAATTAAACATGCTTTAGTTACTCGATATAAAGTTTAATCAAGAAAACCAAACAAGTGCTGAACAACAAACTGAACAAACCTTCCATATTTTGTATCGAATAACCACCACTATTCAATATACGCAAATTACCTGTATATTGCAGAATTGAACACTCCACTTTAATGAATATATGACACAGTTTTCTGAAACTTTTTTAAATCCAACTTGAAGGTTATCCATTACTCAATTTTCCAGTTTCAATGAGACTTATCCTTTACTAGTATATATTCTACCTTTAAATGTTAAACAAAGACATTGACATTTTAGAAGTGGCCTTATCCTGCCCTGCAACAGGAACATTCTTTATTTATACAACATTAAAACAAAACAAGCTACCTTACCTAAATCAATGCTTGCTATGTAATATGTCTTGAAAGTCAAAGAAAGTTATACTCTTGATTTCTCAAGGCAATTACTTTCTGTTTGAGAAACACACAACATTTTAGCAACTTGGTAGTAGAGTAAATGTACTTGATAAACATGTTGCTATGGTACAACATAACAATGTCTGATAAAATTACTGTAGACACTTAAAGTCAGTTGTTAATGTATTGATATATGTATGATAATAGATTAATATGTTACCAACTCCCAGTTTTCTGATAACATTCAACCTAAACTTTATTTCATTGTCTTCGGTTTTACATGTACGAATCAAACATCGTTCCATACAAATATAATAACAATCTAAAACATATTTAATAATTGTTGGCCTACAAACGCTCCATTGGCCAATTTGTTATCCATTTATCTCTTTCAATAAATTTAAATAGATTAAACTGTTAAAGTAGCTACTCTTTAGAAGAAAAATGAGTTAAGAAAAGAATACACAGTGACCTTACATTGAACTGATAAACCATTTGCAATAAAATAACTGAATTTTGTACCTATTGTGTTTCAAAAATTATGGCAAAAACTTACGTAGCAATGTTGATCCAAGTTGGAAAGTAGTCTGCTCAACTTAAATTGTCAATCTTAATTATGAACATATTATACCTTGGATAGATGCGGTGGTATACTACCAATAAATGTTTTTTCACTTTCAGAACATGGTAACCAGTGCCCTGATTCCCAGGGGTTTCTTATATTACTACACTCTGAATAAGTCATTTCATTGGAATTTGAAGATGAATGCCAGCTAGCTCATACAATTAGTCATAAATTCTGTGACCTAATTTTTGATTGGGTAGCTGGAATTTTATTGACCTATTTCATTTTGAAGATTTGATCAAAGGATACTTTACTCATTATTCATTTATTTATGAGATAAAGCTCTCATTTTAAACAGGGAAACAAAATTATTGAAAAGGGTAGGTAACCAGACACCAACCTTGACATATTGACATTCAATTCAAAGAACCAAAAATCAGCTTTTCAATCTTCAGTTACAAAACACCAAACCTTAAGTAAATATTTGCTGAAAAACCTGAACCATTAAAAGTAAATTAACTTTTGTTGATTTAATTGAAATAACATAAATAGGAGTTCATTGGCATGAACTAAGGCTATGATGACACAATAGACTAGTAACTATTTTCTTTATTTTTGTTTTGGCCAATAGGGAGGAATGTAAGATTGCTATCGCCAATTTGATTAGAAGTTTCAACTCATTGAAACAATATCTCGAAGGCATATACAGTATTGTTGCCTTCAGAAAGTAACAGTAAATGAACCTTTATACATTTCCAATACAAATAAAATTAAAATTTGAAACATGCTAGATTGGTGAACTTCTGATCTTTTGTGAAAACAGTGGATTATTCTATTGAGACTATCCGACTACTTTTATAATCAATTTATTGTGTTTACATTATACAGTTCACTAATAAATGCTATAATCCCAAATGCGTCCCAAAGTCAATGACCCTTTGAAGAATATCAATGTTCAGTACACACCTCCGTCTCATTAAAAAGTGATTATATCTAATTGAAAGCCCATGGTTTAATCTGTCCACCAGTCCATCCTTTCTGTCTTGAGAAACTTCATATGGGCAGCCCAACTTGTTATGAATTGCTCCGGATATAACAAATTACCATCGCTGACAAATTGCCGTTTGTATTAGGAGAGAATTTTCATAATATTTTAAAACCCTGACAACTTTCCCCTTTTACCGAACCGATATTACCATGGATTCGGACAAATTTCCCCTTTTACCTAACTGATATTACCATGGATTTGGGTCAAATGAGACAGTACAGTCTCTGATTCTGGAAAGAAGCCTGAAAAGCATACCTCGATATATTTGGGAAGGTGTAACATTTGTGCAAAAAAACAATGATATGAGATCTAGCTATGTTCACTTTGAATTGAAAATGAATGAAACTGACATTTCAAAACTTTTCAAAAGTTTTTCCCATGTGACATTTTAGTTTTGGACCTTAGTTTGCTGTAACTTAGTCCTATATAAAAACTTACATAAACATGAAAGTACTATACATTGCTTTTACCTGTTCCACCGGGATTTAGACGATAACTTCTGTTATAAATCCACCAAATGTAATGAAACAAAAACTTTTCAAACTTGCAGAACCTCCATGTTGTTTAGATGTTGACAGGGTAATGAAGGAGCATGAAGTGTTTCTATTTTCAATTCAATAAGTTAATTATCTGCAATAAATAAAAATAACCAAAGTACAAAGATTTGATACAAGACCTATGCTTTAATGAATTTTACTATTAGATTAAATAATATGGGACATGTATGTGCCTTTAATTTTTAAAATTTGCGCTAATTGGAAAATAATATAATGATTACTCAATAGAGGGAAATCCCAATTTTACGTCATATCCGCTCAATGAGAAGCAGGCAATTCATTTAGTTTCATCGATCGGTGTTTGTGTAGCTGAATTATCAATATCTTGCATTGCTCATTGATTCCTAGCGGTGCATGGTGTTCCCGTCTACTCATATATTGACTTTGGTAGAAGGAAATATTGGTAGAGCGTTCTTGTAAGCCTAGAAAGGGCTAACAATCAATACACTAATTTTGGCTATCTGGAATTTCTCTAATACAGTGCTGAACAGAATAATCCATACTCCCATAGGCGTGTATCGAGTCAAGATGTCTTTACAAAATTCATGATTTAGAGTTGCAGATACAGCATATCAAAATGACGACTAGAGTACCATTAGCGAGACGTGACTCAGCTCCTATAGTCAGCATAGACGAGGCGGAAGACTTTGATGACTTAGGTTCAGATATTTCTGACTCTGGCAAAGGAGGTGAATATGAACAAATGCAAGATGATGATGACAATGTTTTTGAGCAGATTCAATCCTTTACTAAAGTTGCAAATGATGATAGTGAAAAACTGGACATAAACGCAGAAGAGGATATAAATATGAGCCTTCAGACAACAGAAACGGAGCAAGTGGTGCCTGTTATCAGTGTTTCTGAGGATAATGCAGTGCCATTAGAAAGTGAAGATAAGACCTTTGAAACCACTGCTCAATCAACTTACAGCACGGATCCAACCTATGAATCACCAACCACTGACCAGGCTTATGATTCACAACCAATGGATACCAGTCATGATATGTACAGTTCAAATGAACCTTATACACAAGATACTGGATATGGTTTCACTGAGCAGTCATATACAATGGACTCTGTATCTGACTCAACACAACAGGAACAGTTCAACACGGGAGATTCCACATATGACTCAAGTGAATATACTACAGCTACTACGACGCTTTTGAATCGCTCAACTTTCAAACCTAGTCCCTTTGACGCAGCTTGGGATGACACCCCAACTCAGGTGACACAAATCACAGAATCTAAAGTTACAGAGTCAAGCCATTCAGCAGAGCCCTTGGATGAAGAAACACCACCTTCAAGGCCCCCTCCCCCATCTAAGAAGGTTCCACCAGCAAGACCCCCACCATCAAGTTCAACACAGAAAGCCCCACCATCAAGACCAGCACCTCCAGCTGCCAAAACCGCTCCTAAGAAACCTGAAAGACCCCCTGCTAGACCTGGGCCACCAGCAGCTAAAGAACCCCCTAAGAAACCAGGAAGACCTCCAACTAAACCTACCAAGCCAAGTCAACCTCCATCAAGACCAGCCCCTCCTTCTAGTGTTAAAGTTGAGTCTAAGGAACCTCAGGATCCCTTTGATGTTTCTCAGTTGCCAGAAACAGACCCTGACCAAAATGTATCCTTACCCTTTTCTGGAAATGATCGAATAACAATCAAACTTCCAGGTAGTAAAAAACCAGGAGAAACTAGTCCAAGGAAACCAAAGGTTGATGAAGCTCTTTTTGGTAGTAGTAAATCGGGGGTTCTCGCGGCACCCCCTAGCCCGTCACGAAGGCCTAGAGTAGTAGGTACTGTTCCATCTCCAGAGAAGAAACCAACCAGTACATTTGGTAGTAGTAAATCTACATGGGGAAATGGGGTTCCTAGCGTCACCCTCACGGATGATACAAACGAAAGTACCAGTCTTGATGACCCATTTGAATGTCCTCCTTCTAAAGACACATCTACTGATAATGGAGGGGATCCGTTCTCCCTGAAGACAGAATCAGGTAAGTTGATTCTCATGTTTACTACATACAGTTATTACTTAGTTATTACAGTTATTAAGGTTTATATGGCAAAAATGCCAAAGGTATCCATTAGGTTTAGTTGTTTATACACTATGAATTCTGGAAAATGGATTCTGCAAACCAGTGTGGGTACAAACCAGACCTCATATACCATGCATTGCTTGATGGTATCATATCCTATGCATGGTATTATTTTTGTAGTGCATGCAAATTTGTTGGTACGATCAGCTCAAATTGATCCTAAAATGCTCATGGTATGTCGAGGTCTGGTCAGTACTCATGAAATAGTGCACTCTGCGTTTCAATCCATCAATTGATAATCATAGCAGAAAATATTCATGGCGTGACAATATAAATCGCTTGAGATTTTACTCTCATTATATGTAACCCAGCATTTTCTATTAGGCCATAAGAAGTACATTCTTTGTTTTGCGTCCTGGCAAAATCAAAATCATGCAAGGGTACAAGGAAAACAAACACAAACTCAAGAAAAAACACAAACTTGTTTGCTGGGAAATGTATACATTTTATGGGCATAAAAAGGAATGTCATACCAAGTTGCAGTTATAACAAACACATATCTGTACATTTTATACAATATATTTAAACATAGCAATTATTCAAGGGTAAAAAATAAGAAAATTACACAATGTATGCCAAAGTAATCAATAACACCGTCAATTTTGACGTGCGTCAAATTATCCTCCATTTCGTCTGATTTCGATTGAACGAAATGCCTTAAGATTGCTATTTGGATGTGTTTGTTTTTTCTGATTTACTCAAAATCGTGCAAGCAAGGGGACGCAAAACGAAGAATCTACTTCTTATGGCCTTATTAGTGAATCATGGTAATGAAGAGATGATTGAGGGCATTCTATTTCCAATTAATGATT